ATAAAGAATAGATCATTCAGGAAGCAGGGCTTTGTGAGGAGGAATGTGGCATCAGGATTGGAAGTAGACTCATCAACAACCTACATTATGCAGATGACACAACCTTGAAGATCTGAAGCGCTTGCTGCATATGGTCAAGGACTGTAGTCTTCAATATGGATTGAAGCTCAACATCAAGAAAACAAAGAGTCTCACCACTGGGCCAATTGGCAGCACCATGATAGATGGAGAGGAAACTGAGGCTGTTAATAATTACAGCTTGCTTGGCTCCATAAAAAAAACATAGCACTAGCAGTCAAGAAATCAAAAGATGAATTGTATTAGAAAATCTGCTATCAGGAACCTCTCCAGAGTACTGAAAAGCAACAATTATCAATGATAATTAATTATATAAAATATAATGTATATGAATGCTTGTATAAAACACAGGCACATGAATGAAACACAACATTTATGAATAACTGTATAAAACATAAAGACATGTATAAAACACGATGTATATGATTGATTATATAGAAACTAACTTTTTTTAAAATTTTTTTATTTTTTATTTTTTATTTTTGTGTGAGTGTACCATCAAATCAGATCTGACTGGTACAGGAGGAGACTGTCCCTCCTTCCCCGGCAGAGCATCTGGTGGATTCGAACCGTGAGCCTCTGGGATTATAGTTGCAGCTCCTTGCCACTAGGCCACCAGAGCTCCCCTGAAACGAACTTTTTTTTTAAAAAAAGAAGGTGGCATCTAGATTGGAAGACTCATCGACAATCTTTTTTAAGCAGAAGATACAACCTTGCTAGCAGAAAGTAGAGGACCTGCAGCTCTTAAGTAGAGGACTTGAAGCACTTAATGCAATTTAAAACATTTAACTGCTGCCCATGCGGTATAATTGAGCTTCACCCCTTCTATTAACACAAAAATAGGACCTTCTGACCCTAACTCAATGAAGAAATTTTCAAAGAAAGAAAAGGAAAACCTTTACTTTTAAACTTTAACTGGGTAACTGATAGGATTGCTTTGAATCATAGACTTTTTCATTTCCCTAGCCTCCTTTCTCTCTATATGATGTGCTAAATTATTTTCCCTTGAGAAAGTTCACATGAGGCAAGTCAGCATTCAGGCACTGCAGGTATTTCAAGACCCAAAAGCAAGACCCTGAGTGAGCATCCTAGGTATAGATTCTTGAATTCTGCTTAAAGTTTTCTAGTGCCATACTAGTTAGTGACTCCTGTCTGATCTTCTAGAGAGCAGCCATCTTGAAAGAACATGTTCTGTGATGATCAACACCCTAATCTGGAGATAGCCATCTTTAGACCCACAAGTTGCTGAATCATGAATATTTGCAGCCCTCTTGATCACCTGCAAATCCTCCCCACAAGACCCAGAAAGTACTTTCAGTAACAGTCATCTTGAAAGAACAATTGTGCATGTGGTCAGTTATCCTAATCCCTCGGCAATCCCAGAACACTCCTTTCTCCTTTCTTTAATAAACATGATGATCATGTCCTTTTAATGAGGTAACTTTAAAAACCCAACCCTCTCCAAGAATAAACGTGATATTCTTTCCCCTACACCTCAAAAAAGTAAATCACACTTTGCTTAATTTGAATTATTTAGGAAAAAAAACACTAAAGCAAATTTTGATTTTATGAATATCAGCTCTCAAAATGCTAGAAAGTCTGGGAGGAGGGGGTGGGCAGGGAGAAAAGTGCAACAATGAATTAATGGAAATCCTAAGTCTCTATAAACTTTCATTAAAATTAATAAAAAATGCTAGAAAATCTATAGGGTAAAAGAATAAATTTACTTAATAACAACGTACTTTTCTGTTAAGTTCTAAAACAAAACAAAATAACAAAAAGCCCACAAAAAAATAGCATGGTATTTGTACTACAGGCACATACATTAATGGAACAGAATCAACCAATGGTGAATTTATATTTGACAAAGTAACTAAACTCATTAAATGGTACTGGCAAAACTGACATCTACCTGCAGAAAACTGAAAAAGGATATACTTCTCACACCATACACAAAAATCAATTCAAAGTAGATCAGACACTTTAGAGGTAAGAGATAAAATAGGCACACATTTAGAAGCCTTGGTCTATGGCATAAATGGGCTTGCCAAAAACTTAAGAGGACATAAAATCAATGAATGGGATTTTCTTAAAAATCAAAACCCTATATGCATCAAAAACTCTGCAGTAGGGTACAAAGAAAGCCATTCAACAATGACTTTCCAGATAAGAGTTTCATAACTAAATCTTACAGAATACTACAAGGCCCCCACAAGAAAAAGTCTGATCAAAAAATGAGCAAAAGATATGAAAAGACTCTTCACAAAGGAAGGCATTTGGGGGGCCAAGAAACACATGAGAAAATGCTAAAAATCTCAAAACAACTCTGAGATATCATCTCACCCCAGTCAAAATAGCAAAATTTAACAGAACAGCAAGCAACAAATGCTGGCGAGGTTGTGGAGAAACTGGAACCCTTATTCACTGTTGGTGGGAGTGTAAATTGGTGCAACCACTGTGGAAAGCAGTGTGGCGCTTTCTCAAAAAGTTGCAAATAGAGATACCATTTGACCCAGCAATTCCACTACTGGGAATATACCCCAAATAGACCGTAACTGCCACCCAAGCAGATATGTGCACAACCATGTTTATCGCAGCTTTGTTCACAATAGCAAGGAGTTGGAAACAACCTAAGTGCCCATCAACAAACAAATGGATAGAAAAGCTCTGGTATATTCACATGATGGAATATTACACTGCACTGAAAAACAATAAACTCATGCAATATTATTCAAAATGGGTGACCCTGGAGGACATTATGCTGAGTGAAATATCTCAGTCACAAAAAGACAAATACTGCATAGTGCCACTGTTGTAGGCGGGGACTGACATCAGGGTTGGGGTAAGACTGAGAAAAAAGTGGATAAATTGTGTATACTGCATTGAAACAGATGAGGGAGAGAACAGTTTAAAAGTGATATATGATAGAGTATTATGGTTATCACGAGTCCAGAATGACAGCTGCACAGTGGAGTGTACTTGGGGCGGAGGATGGGGGTGGGGCTTGTATACCAATGAAGGAATTTTTCTTTTAGTTTTCAAAGAGAATAGTGAACTGGGGGGAGGGGTGGGCAGGGAGAGAAGTGCAACAATGAATGAATGGAAATCCAAAATCTCTGTAGATGTTCATGAATATTAACAAAAAATTCACACTTTGTATGAATAAAAAAAAATGCTCAAAATCACTAGCAATCAGAGATGCAAATCAAAACAAGATGAACCCACGCCAACATCAAACCCCAGCAGTAGTAGCAAAGTTTATGACCACAGCAAGCAATAAATGTTGGTGAGGATGTGGAGACACAGCAAACAGTAAATGTTGATGAGTATGTGGAGAGACTGGAACTCATGCATTGTCAGTGAGACTATAAAATGGTACAACTGCTGTGGAAAGCAGTTTGGCATTACCTGAAAAAACTGAACATAGAAATACAATATGACCCAGCTAGTCCACTGCTAGGAATGTATCCTAAGGAAATCAGAAATGAGACAGGAATGGAAATATGGAACACTGTTTTCATAGCACGCAGATCTGATGGTGCTAACATGAAGCCATATGGTTCAAATCCAGCAGTTGTTCCGCTGAGGAATAATAGATGATCTCCTCCCCTGCACAAAACCAGCTGGAGGGTTAGCCATGGGTTGGCTCCAACATGAGGATACATAATACAACATTTTCATAACAGCATAATTCACAATATCAAGAAAATGGAAACAGCACAAATGTTCATCAACAAAAAAAAATGGATTGAGAAATTGTGGTATATCCACACAATGGAAAACTGTAGAGCACTAAGGAATATTACAGTATTTCATAAAATAATATATAACATGAAGGAGTCTAGAGAGCATTATGCCAAGGCAATTTCAGTCACATAAGGACAAATACTGAATAAGGCCACTATTGTGAAAACAAGAGGATAATAAATAAATCTGCAGTGCAGATTTTTACCACTAGGCCACCAGAGCTCAGTATGCAAACTAATAGAAAATTTTTTAAAAAAGAAAAAAGGTGAACCTTAACTTTTAAGGAGAAGTAAAGATCAGCAGGGATAAATGATTAAAGGAATCCTTTTTGGCAGTAGATTTTTTTTTAATGCTGAGTTTAACTTTGTATAGGTAGGAACTTAATTTGCAGAAAGATAAGAGATGAAAATTCTGTATGAGAGCAGAAAAAGGAGACTTCAGAATAGTTCCTAGAAACCATGACAGGAGCTGCCACATTGAGGAAAGGATTCTTGGTTTTGTTAAGTAGATTGTGAAGAGCCAAAGAAGGCTGCTGAGCAGTGTATTATCAAGTCTTTGACATTGCTTTAACCTCATTTGTTGATAATTAGGTGATTGGAAGCATAGCATAACTTTGGGTAGTACCCATTTCTGGTTTGTGGTGAGACATGGAGATCCTGTAAGCTGTTTACTAGTATCGAATGGCTAAGGAGTCGTCCCTGCATATGTGGAAACAAAAAAGGTCACAGTCTTGAAAGCTTATATGGCCTAGCTTTACTCTGCATACAAAGGGGTGCCAGGAGTCTGAATCCACTAGAGTACAGCTAACAGTGAAAGAGTACCGCAAAGGCGTTCCTTACACAACAAAACAGAGACTAGGAAAGAGGCTTAGAGGCCTGAGTCAAAACAAAACTCCTCACGTTCACCCAAAGAACAGGCTCCAACACCCAGCTCCGATCTCTCAGGACTTGTTTTGGAGACCTAAACCTTGGCCCTTAAGAGGAGCTCCGGTGGCCTAGTGTGTAGCTTAACGGGCTGCTAACCAAAAAGCTGGCGATTGGAATACACCACTAGCTTTGCAGGAGACAGATTCTTTCTAAAAAATAAATTTCCTCACAAATCCTATAGGGTCGTGTCACTGAGTCCAAGACTCCACCCTAGACGGGCAATCCCTTCCCTTCTGCTCTCTTACTTACTTGTCCCGTATGATGGTTTGCAGTTCCCGGATCTGATCATTCATAGGCAGCAATTTAAGCTGTGCCCCCATCTGCAAAGAGTGTTCGCAGTTTCCAAGGAGGGTGTCGCTGGCTGCTACGTCATAGTTGCGACTACCTCCGCTGCCACTGTTGCTTTCTGTGTTGGGGCTGACGCCACTATAGGCCTGGTGGTCCTGCTCGGCTGGTACAGTGGACAAGCTATGGCCTGTAAAATCAGCCAGCTTCGCCTTGGAGGTGCTGTTGCTCCCAGGATGATCCGGGGTCGCGTCGCCAGGGTGCCGTGGCTCGAGGGTTGAGGTAGAGGCAGAATTTACTTGCTGATTGTGACACGGCATGGAGTCAAGAAAACGTAATTTTGTGGCCATACACCAGGCCCCAGGCTGTCTCCGCTGCTGTTGACCTCTAAGAATAAAGGACAGAAGAAAAAAACGAAACTCATATACTACTCGTACAACCCTCGCCCCAGCACAGCTTCACCCATCTCTTTAACCCTGGTTGCCCTCTCACCCCATCCTTTTCCTTTCCATTGGCTTTGTCCCACACCCGCCCACATCAAACGTATTGGCTCATTGACCTCTCATTGGTTTCTCTCTCCGTCACTCTTGTGAAGCACTGTTTGTTAACCCTTTGATTTTACTCTGTGTGAGTTCTTTTATCTAGCTAAGGATGGTTGGTAGGTCTTTCAGAACTTACTCTCTTTTACTGCCATCAGGTTGGAACCAACTCAAAGCTGACCCTCCCGTGGATTTCCCGAGGCTGTTGATCCCATGGGAAGATATTACTCATCGTTTGATTGAATCGCTGGTGGCCTCAAAACGTCAGAGAAGCCCCTAGTTTTGGGTTAGCAGCACACCTTTCAATGGACTAATCCACCAGAGTTTCCTGGTATTTGAGAGCCTGGTCGATCAGGAAAAAAATATTATTATATGCATAAGTCCCATGTTCCCAGACTTTGTGCCTTGTCAGCCATTTTATCTCAGCAACTGCATCTTCAATGTAGCTTGTTTGAATTAACTGAAAAGAGTTACCTCTCAGTTAATTAGGATTCACAGCAACCCTGTAGGACAGAATAGAACTGACTAATGGTTTCAAGGGTAAAAATCTTCACAGAAACAGACTGCTTCATCTTTCTCTCTCAGATCAGTTGTTGGGTTCCAACAACCACCTTTGGGTTACTAGGTCCAGGATTACCCAATGCTCCACTGGTGCTCCTCATATGTTGTTGTTAAGTGTCCTTGAGTTAAGTATGATTCATAGTGACATTATGAATATCTAAACCCTGTTCTACGCTGACGACTGCCTCCTGGTCCAAGTGTAGGTTTCGCATAAGCACAATCAAATGTTCTGGGATTCCCATTCTTCTCAGAGTCAGCCATAGCTTGTTTTGATCCACACAGTCAAAGGCCTTTGCATAGTCAATGAGTACTGGTACTCCAGATATCAGAACAGAGCAAGGAGACACTATATGGTTCGATATCAGGAAGGGGGTTTCAAACTTTGTTACTTCACATTATGTTGCTTATTGGTCAAGTTAGCAGGATTTTTGTTTTCTTTATCTTGAAGTATAATTCATACTGAAAACTACAGTCTTTGATCTTCCTAAGTGCTTCAAGTGGTCTTAAATTTCAGCTAAGTTGTATTGTATGTGTACTGCAGGTGGTTTATGAGATTTAATTCAATCCTCATGCTACTTTCTTTTTTGCATAGCCCAGTTTCTCAGCTTCCTCGATCTATTATATATTATATTAAATAAACATTGTTGTTGTCGTTGTTGTTATGTGCCGTTGAGTCGCCTGCGACTCATAGCGACCCTATGT